CTTCTAGAGGTCCACCATTATATTAAGAAATATAACGAAGTGTTTTCGAGCAAGGTGCATCGTTAACACTCAATGTGTGATGAGAACCTGCCAATCTATTGGGTATAATACACGTCTTCAAGTAATTTACACGCTAATTTGAAGCAGAAGTTAGAGTAAAATTTGCAAGGAAATTTACAAGAACATTTACAAGAACATTTACAAGAACATTTACAAGAACAAATTAATACGAGTTATGAGACTGAGAAGTTTCAACCATCAAAAGCACAGTCGGAAAGGTTATTGGAAAGTGTTATCTATATTCCATCTATCTACCCGCTACCGCAAGGTACAACTTTAAGCCATTGACAGATGATATCCGAGGGTAGTTTTACTGAAGGAAACATTATTTGAGCTTTGAGAAAATGTATCTGAAAAACGATAATATTTTTTCCTTTGTAACGCGGTTTTGCCAAGAACTGAATTTACAACAATTTTATCTAAAAAATTAACAACATCAATAAAATTATCAAGAAACAATGTTGACTGGCGCTCATGAGCACATAAAGGGATTGCAGATTGTCAAGAGAATACAGTCTAAGGGAGATTATTGTTCTTACAGATGGAAAATGTTGGCACGTCTGGAATGTGTCAAATCTTTGTTTGTCCACCAGCTGACGAGAAGTATGTTTCAACTGTCGAGTGTCAATCACATATGTTTGTGTAAGACTGCTGTCCCTCAATTCCTCAAGTCTCCTCCGGTCTGCAACTATTCGACAAGAGCAAGTAGAAACAATAGTGAGCTTCTCGAGATTAGGGAGACAGGAAAGTTATTATGGTTTGAAGCTTTGCCAGCAAGCGACTCAATAGTTTCTAAGTCGATAAAATGAATGATGACCTCATAAATTGTTAAATTAATCGTCACTGGTTGAGTATTTGTATAGGATTTGTATAGTATACAGTTAATTTAGTCCTAAACTAAAAAGACAGTCAACGAGAGTACTTGTAAACGTTTAGCAGGATCACAACTAAATAATGCATAACATTTTACCGATGGTGATTGACCCTAATCTTATGGGCTAGGGTTTAAGAGAATTCGAATAATGTGACGATATATTACGTGAATGGTGGTATGTGACAATGCCATATTGCAATTTTGAAGCCAATATCCTACATTATCTTGCATTCTACCCCCCCCCCCCCCCCCCTTTATGTTAATATTTAAGGAAAACCAGTCTAGGAGTAGACTCCGCTATCGTAAGAGCAAGGCTATGAGGCATCCCAGAAACTTTAATTTAATTCAATTTTATGATAATAACATATTGACCGGCTTGCCGGCTTGATATTGAAACAAATATCACGATAACCGCACTTAAAACTAGCTGGTGAAAAAAAGAAAAGAAAAAACACAAAAATAAAGGAGCTTATCTGAAAGATAGGAGTTAATAACCCGTTACTTGATAGGTCACCTCCCTAATTGTAAATCACTCTGTTATGTTCAATCACATGACTCGGTTTATGTCACGTTTTGACAAGAATACAGCTCTCTGGTTGGTCAGTTTGTGACACGTGACAAGAATACAGCTCTGTGATTGGACATACCGTTTTGTCTGTGTGACGCAGTTGCTGACATGCCGAACATTGCTTGGATACCAGAGACTGTGACTATAAATAGTCTTCTCTGATCCTTACTCTTTGTTACAATAAACACTGCTATGTAGTACTGTGTAGTACCGAGTAGCACTGTATAGTACTGTAAAGTGGTGTCGACAGTGAATTCATGTGTCAGTGTGATGTCATGTTTTGTTCTGTTTTGTTTTGTATTGTACTATTGTGCAGGTAACTTATAGTTCTAACGTCACGATGCTGTTACTATGGAGATACCAGTAAATACATATCTATTAATAAATTATAAGTGATATATTTTGAAAAATAAGGAAGGTTATATTGGAGAGATAGGGGAGTTACATAATGATGTATTAATATGTACTAGGGAAGTACACATAAGATACCAGTATGATGCATCAAAGTAAATGTAAAGGTAGTGTAGTAACAATAAAATTATACCAGCTCTAGACTTCACTTCCTTTATAAGTAATGTTCCTTACACTTACAGTCTAATATATAATATATATTGTATATAAACTCCCCTTGTAAGATAACAGTTCACTCCACTGGTTTCAATAATGGTCAAACTTAACTACTTCTCATACTACTTCTCAAGGCTGCCAGACCAAGACTGCCATACCAAGACTACTAGACCAGGCTGCCAGACCAAGACTGCCAGACCAGGCTGCCAGATCAGGCTGCCAGATCAAGACTACAGAATCAAGACTACAGGATCAAGACTAAAGGATCAAGACTACAGGATCAAGACTAAAGAATCGAGACTACAGGATCGAGACTACAGGATCAAGACTACAGGATCAAGACTACAGGATCAAGACTACAGGATCAAGACTACAGGATCAATGCTGTCAGAAGAGGTTGCTAATTCAGGGAGGGAGCTGATCCTCACGAGGGTACGGTCAGTGGAAGACTATTGGTCTTTAATTTTAAAACTGTCAAGGAATCTCGGGAATTTGCCTCTCAGGCAGTACTGCTGTCCCTCAGTTTTAAATGTCTCCTCTGATCTACAATTCATTAACAAGGACAAGTAGAAGCAATTATTAATGTTCACTCATTGTCACAGAGTTTCTATTGAGCTTATAAAACAAAGCTAATATATTTTGAAGCTTTGCCAGCAAGTGCTGAAGAGGCCCTGTACTGCTGAACCAATCTAGTGAGGGACTCTATAGTTTCCGGGTCAATCAACTGAAATCCATGGATCCTCCACAACAATATAACCACCCTTTGTATATATGGTGAGTCTCCTGTAATAATGCTATGTTTTACTGTTAAATACAGAGTAAGCTGTATTACTATAACTGATAACAGTTTTAACATGTTGATTTCTAAATAAAGAGAGTGTAAGGCTGATCCAGGCTGCTAATAACCCGTCCTATTAATGTAGCCCACTTTGTACAGTCTCACCCAGGTGTTCTCCTCAAGCTCTCTCATTGGTTAGTTCTAGTCACGTGACCAGAATAAAGCTCTCTCATTGGTCGGATTGTTTGCACGTGCTGGAACCAGCCGGTCTGGGTACAGTTCAACAGTTGTCATGGTAACGCGATACTGTCATGGCCTTTAGAAAATTATGTACAACTTATCAAACTGCTCGAATTTAAAGAGTATCATAAAAGAAACTTTAGCAGGCATTATATTGAAGGTGAACGAGGAATACAGGGAACTTTCTTTATTAACTAACTTGAACTTTCGGTGTTAGTTCTCTTTTACTTCAATCTGAGTTTATACTGTAATGGAAAGACTTTAAGACAAGATGCTCAAATACCAAGAAATAGTTATATATGTTAAGAGAGACAAGTCAGTAGTTAATGTAGATACACACTTGACAGGGTTACTGTAAAAAGACTTGGGAACTTGAACTATGCCCTCTGAATAACATTAGGATACTAATAGAATATGATAGAGGTGGTAATATGACCAACATCGTACTGAAATACAGATAAAAAGAGACTGATGATAAGATAGCAGTAACAAATATAACTGGAAGCAAATTTAACAGAAGCAAACCGGAAAATAGTACAAGAATATTTGATCATGAGAACACGGTGACTATTGTAAGGTAAGAGAACAAGAAGACCACGACATTAGAAGCTCAATAGCACACAGTAACGCCAAGCAGCCAGATACAGATTAGCCAATTAAATTTGCATTCTACAGAAAGGGTGAGTTCTGCAGGGTTCTGCAAAGTTATGACAAACAATGAAGTTACACCAGAGACTAGTTTCACACTGTACAATACATGTGTTATACAAAACACCAGGATAGTGTGGCAAAAAGGGAGTCATGTTTCACTACATCATACTATGCACAGTTAGAAAAACTATTCATCAGTATATATAACAAATAACCATCATTATACATAACAGAGAGTAACTGGTATCTCAAATACCGTTATTTTTAACGGCAGGTTCTTGACACAATGTAAATGGGCATTACTAAGGTTAAACATCCCGGGTCCTTAGTTGCTGACACCCAACTACAAAGCTAACGACCAACACATTCATAGTCCCTTTTACCACACTCCCTCTGTCTATAGCGATCTCTGTGCTAGTATACAAACGTGATTTTGTGCGAAGTTGAGAGACACCTCCAGTTGTTAGAAATTGTTGAACATGATTTACAACATAATGAATAATGACAGTACAGGTCCAATAATTCAACATCGTCACTTTGAGCGAAGAGAAAACTTATGTACCTAAATAATACATATCTTCCAATACATCTTCCCTTACAATAAGTGTAGTTATTGACTACAAGCATGTCATGTATTTGGTTATAATGTGTATTTTTCTTAAGAAATGCACAATATAACACACAATAGAGTTAGATATGTAAGGTCCCTATGTGCTAGTATAGATTTACACACAAGGGAGGTGGTTTCCTCATAGAAGGAGACGGCGTCACACAATGCCACACACACCTGTGTTCAACATTGTGTGTGACACAATTATAATTGAATTATAATCCTTTAATCTAACATAAAACTCTTGGTGAGTTCACTAAGTTTTACTGAGGAAGACACAGAGTAATTGTTTAAGAAACTGTAGGTACATTCAATTGTTTAAAACATAAAGGTTATTGTTGTTCCCAGGTACATTAAACTTATTCAATAAACTTATGGATTATATCTTATGATATATGTTTAATATAATCATGATACCATGGTTTTGTAACCAAGATTTAAATTTTCCATTCTTAAATAAATTGATTGACTTTGTTAACTACACATTACCTATAACCTACTTATTTCTTATACTTTCCGCTAATACCTAATTTAAAAAGAAAACATTTATATGTGCTTGTGTGCACTCTTAATATTGTGAGTTTGATGATACTTTAGATTTTGAAGCTATTATTTAGAATATACAGAGACAGTAATAACTGAATATGCTCACCATAAGTAATGAAGAAGAGCTCAAGAAGCATTAAACTCCAAGCCTCATCACCTCACTCCTGCCCTGCAGCTAACACACCTTTTCTTTCACTCCTGCAGTGGTCCAACCAGTCTGTTTCTTTAATTATCTCCTTGCTATTAAGATGATTTTATTAATTTGATATCGATAATTTGTGATAATTGTCAAATGTTAATGATTAGTGGTTTTTACAGCCAGGTAGCGCAGTTGGTTAGAACGCCATCTTTGCAAATCGTGAGGTTGCGAGTTCGAATCCCACTGTCTGCCTGGTCGTGGGGTGAGCGTTGCTGACGTTCAGCTAAGGATTCTGAGTGGTTTATGCAGCCCCCTGGTCTACTCAGCCGAATACTCGAGATATCGGGTGTGAGGGTTAAATGAGGAGCTGCACATTGCAGCAAAGTCTCGGGCAAAGAAATTATGGTACACACTACCTTAACCATCACTGGCCAACAAAAATCCTTCGGCTTCCTGTAATTGGCTGGTTGCACTTGTGTAACAATGTGGCTGTTGGAATACACCGAAGTAAAATAAGTGTCTTGATAAAAATTTAAAAAAAGTGGTAATTGAAATTGTGGAAATATACAGGGTGGGCCAAAAATCAGTGGACATACGTTGGCCTTAATAGCTCAGTCACTGAGTGCCCAATTGAAATAATTCTTTCTGGTATGACTTACTTAATAAAACAAAAGTTAATAAAACAAAAGTTAAATTTATTACCAATTATTCAATCAATACATATCATAAATTCTAATATTGGAAACACAATGCAGAATGGATGTCTTAAACTATAATTTTGTTGTCACTAATAATCTATTTACTTTCAAAGTTGAAATTTAGTTAAGTATGAAATGCCACCACATCATAGTTAGGGTAAAATATAATTCTTAAAAATTTTTAAATTGAGAAGATTGCTCTATGACTTAAAATTTAAAATTTAGCAAAAGATATCTAATTTTTAGATAGTTGGTTACAGTTTATGACAGTACTGGCATGATCAATTTTATTGTGGCTGGTAAAAGGACCCAGTTGCCTGTAAGGGCTTTACCGAACCCCTGGGGACCACAATGTGATAGGATCAGGCCAGATGTTTCTATGTAGAGCAATTTATTTATTTCTGAGCTATGGTTACGTGGTATAGCTGGTGGTCATGTTTAAAGGTCAGTTTATCTTTGTGTGCTAATTATCCATCCAGATGCTTAGTGATGTGAGTAAATCATGCCCTTCTACAATATATAACGTTTAACTATAAATTTGTTTTTACCACAGAAACTGTGGCACTAAGGTCAAGAATTAAAAATTTGTACTCTCATTGATAGTTAAAGCGTTTTTTTCCCCAGCACTACTACACAACAAAAACCTGTCGGCCCACCGAGGAAACACAGTCGCAGAACAAGGAACCCAATTGTGCTCCTCTATTCTGCGATCGTGTGTATTTACTATAAACTAGCTAAATGCAGTTAGTAAAATTTTCTGGAATCATTAAAGTCGTTTGATTAGTTTATGTGTCAAAGTAATGTCCATGATAATCATATATTTGGATCCCCGGTGGGCAAACACTCGTCCCAAAGGCTAAGGCAAACCTTTCAATGTTTCACCATACGAAGTAAGGAGATTTGAACACATACTCAGCCTACAACTCCACCCATGGGACGAGACGTCGTGAGCCTCAAAATATATAGCATATACCCAGTCAGCAAACACTATACACAACATACATACGATAACAAACAATGTATAATGCCATTACTTCATTTAAAAGAAAATATATCTGCTATCTAATTTTTTTTTTTAAAATTGAACAATAAACCTGAAGAGAGGAGAAGGAGAGAGGGGTTTGGGAGAGGTAGAGTAGGAAAACAACAGGATCCTGTGCCGCAGGATTTTAAAATTTGTTGTATGATGATTCGTTTTGTGTCGTCTCTTAGATTAATATAGGTCTGATACCCTTGTCATGGTTTTTTGCAATAACACCGTGGTTTACTCATATGATTATGTTTACTAAATCAACCTATTTCAATGATAATTCATTTGCATCAAAGTTGTAACTGCACCAAAGTTGTCGGTCATATTTAGATTGTAGTTCTAACAAAGATTTCTTAAGATTATTCTTGAATATACTGATGGGAGTGGAGAAGTCTATTTCACTTGTTGACTTACGGCAGTGATTCCAAATACTAGTTGATTGATAGATGAATAGTGAGGATGGAGTGGGTGGGATGAAGTAGTTGTCTCGTCTTGGTGACCTGTTGAATAAAGAGAACATTGAGACTGGTGATTGGAACTTATTAATTTTAAACATTTCCAGTAAACAGTGCAACTTATGAAGATTGTGGACAGTCAGGAAGTTATACTCGTTACAGATTGGTTTACTGTGTTCTAGTTCAAAGAAATCTTTGCCTAACATCTGCTTGATAACTTTACCGGTCTTATCCCTAGTGATAGGCCTTACTCTGGCACATGTTTTGAACTTATTGAAGTATGCATCATTATCACCAAAGAGAATTCTTATGCATTTCTTTTGTGTTTTAAATATGGCTTCTAGTTTATTATTTGATACACCTCCCCAAACAGATATTCCATAACATAGGTGTGATTCAAAAAGGGTGTGGTACAGGTCCTTATATAGTTTTTTAGGTACACAGCGTCTAATTCCACATAGTCTACCTATCTCACATTTCAATTTACGGTTTAACGCTCTTAAGTGAGCATCCCAGTTCAGTTTTTGGTCAATAATGACTCCAAGAAACTTAGTTTCCTCCACCTTTTTAATTACTATATTATTTAGTGTCAGTTCTAATTCATTGGTGTTTGAATCTGGTTCATTTCTACAGTTCGGCTTAAAGTGGATATAACAACATTTCTTTATGTTGATATGCAGCAAGTTACTCTTCATATACTGATGAACAAGTTTAAGAATTTTATTAGCTTTGCAGTAAAGTGTTTTTATACATTTATCTACAACAAATATGTTGGTGTCATCGGCAAAAAGTATAAACTTACCTAGGTCTGATACTCTGTATATTTCATTGATGTAGATAATGAAAAGCAAGGGACCTAATACTGACCCCTGAGGAACACCAAATATTACAGACAGTTTTTCGGATTCTTCTCCAAGTACTGAAACATATTGCTGTCTATTAGAAAGGTAACTGGCTATCAATTTATTTGCAGTCCCTCGAATTCCATAATCATTCAGTTTTTTAAGCAGTTTATCATGACAGATTGTGTCAAAAGCTTTACTTAAATCAATGAAGATGCCTAGTACGTGATTTTTATCTCTTAAAGATTTTTCAATGTAGTCGACAGAGAAGTTGAGTGCATGGCTTGTCGAGTGATTTTTTCTAAAGCCATATTGATTTTCATATAATAATCCTTGCGACTGAAAGAAACTGTAAAGCCTGGAGAATATGATTTTTTCAAGTATTTTACCGAATATCGCTAAGGTTGAGATAGGCCTGTAATTTTCAAGAAGCTCAGCATTTTCTTTCTTATATATTGGACTTATTTTACCTACTTTTAGGTCGTCTGGAAAAAATCCCTGTTGCATACATTCGTTGTACAATACCGATAGTAGTGGGCTAATTTTGCCTGATACTGCCTTTACTATATGTACTGGTATGTCGCTAGCCTTGCCATTCTTAAGTTCCGATATGATCTTAGCCACCTCCTCAGGTGAGCAGTCATGTAGATATATATTAGCTGTATTCGATTTAGGTAAGAAGTCACAGAAACTTGGAAGCTGATTTATTTGTATCTCTCCTAGTTCTGTGTAGGCTGCATTAAGGTTAGATGCTAGGGATACAAAATACTTATTGAATTCATTAGCTATAACTCTGCGATCAGTTATCTTTTCATTGTCTATGGTAAATATAGGTCTGATATCACGTTTCTGTTTGCCACGAATTTTATTTATCAGTTCCCAGGTTTTCTTGGAATTTCCCTGAGTTTCAAGAAACTTGTCAGAATAATATTCAGATACAGCTTTTTTACGAACCTTTTTTAGAGCCTTTCTATATTCTTTGTAGTCATCATAACGGTTTCTTTTATTACAGCAGATAGAACACAGGCATGTGCCCCCTTTTGTGTCAGTTTCGCCTTGTTTACACTTAACTTTCCTGACTTTCGCCCAGTCATCATACAGCCCATGGCAGTGGTTTACTGAGGCTATAATCCCGCCAGTAATCCATGGGTTGTTCTGGATAGTGCGCTTAGTGGTTTTGGGTACAGCTAGTTTGCAGGTTTCGTCAATGCTGTTTTTAAAGATATCATGAAAGTTAGTAAAATCTATAATTGGTTCATTGTCTAGTTTGTTACCCAAGACTTCAGCAAATTTATCAGTGTTTGATTTACAATAGTCATAATATTGAGTGTGCTTGTGAATATTTTTGGTCTTGCTAATTTCCCAGTCAAATATTGTAAATATAGGGAGGTGATGAGATATGTGATCAGTTATGACTCCAGAGGCAGTAACAGAGTCTAGGTCATTTGTAATGATGTTGTCGATGCACGAGGCATTACATCCAGGCTTTTCATGAGTTGCTAATGATATCAATGGAAAGAAGCCTCTACTAAATAGGACATCTTCATACTGTGCAATAATGCTACTGTGGTTACTATGGAGATTAATGTTAAAATCACCTGCAATGTGTGTATGTTTTGGTGCTTTATCAAGTATTGACGACAGTTCTTGGAGAGCTTGCTCAGCATTGCCACTTGGAGGGCGGTATATTACTCCTATAGAAGTAGAATTTCCTAGACTACCTATAGTTACAAAGAGGGTTTCTAGATTTTCTGTTACTTGTGAAAGGTTGTTATTTTTGACAGCATTGAAGGAGTTCAGGACATATAGAGCTACTCCTGAGCCTTTTACTTTCGAGTCGAAGGTATCTTGATAGAAGCTCTCATAGCCTGTGAGTTCGTACAAGTTTTTCATTTCAGGGCCTACATTCGTTTCAGCAAGACCAATTACAGAGAATTTGTTAGTAAACCTAGCTATTTCAATTGCCAGCGAGTCAAAGTTTGATTTGTTGCCATCAAGATTTTGAAATATTAGTGAGTTTTGCACTTGTAATTCGTTAGCAAAGGTGCGGTTTATGTCTTTTACAGAATATGAGTCAC